ATATAAAAGTTTTTACACATGGAATCCATATTTATCTTAATGCCTCCTTTCAATAGCTCAATCACCCCGAAATTATCCTATAATTAGTTTTAAGGATGTATATTGTATTGGTTTCTTAGATTTAACATTGGAATTCCTCTATTTTTAACATATTTAATCATGTAGATCAAATTAATTGTTCATGATGCAAAACATAAATTTAATGCGCAAAGTAATGTGAAGTTTTACACGAACAACCATAAATCAACCTAACGTGCAAATTTTCCATAATTTATAGTCTAACACATGATTTCAAATATATTAATCATAGTGGGCATAATAATCTAACACACACGAGCATAGAAAATAGACAATAAAACAGAGAAGAAAGTATTTCTGGGAATTTTTGTCACAAAATAGTAAAAACATATAACAAACTCGTAAAGTATTGCACATAATATACAAAAAGTAAAGGCAAAGAAGGAACTAAGTACCTCCCCTAGTATAAATCTAGATGAAATGGCAAGAAATTGATGGATCTAGATGGTCCATGTTCCTGCGTCCTTTCCCTTGTCCGATGTTGGGTTGTATATTTTTCAGTTGCCATGTTCCTTCAAAATAAATAGAAATCAATTATAATATGAAACAATTTATAATAGGCTCAAACACTTAACAATCTATAGGACAATATGGGAATGAAGATTCCTAAAGTACTAAAATTAATAAAATTTACTAATCCTATTATCTAAAAAGCATAATAAATAAAATGGAAGAAAATTGGGGTTGTCTCCCAATTAGTATTTGCTTATAGTCATTAGCTTAACTCGTTGTTTTGCATGTTCATGGTGGTTTGAACACGGAGTTTTTAGACTTGCATCGGCTACACTGGCCGATTATTTTGCTTTGTCTTTAGCCCTCCAAATTTTAATGATTCCACATTGGTCTTTAATTGCTCCAACCAATCTACCAGCTCATTTTTTATGGTGATGACTTCCATAATCATCATTGTTTCTTTGTCAATATTTTTGCACTTCTCAAGATAAGTTGGTTGCCTAAGTGGAGTGTTCATGGTGAAGCTTTGTTATTTTTCTTCTACGCTTAATATTGTCTCACCATTTTCAAATCTATTATGCTCGTTCTATTACTAAAAATGGTCTTCCCAATATTACTGGCATGTATTGATTTTCTTTTACATTGAGGATGATGAAATGAGCTGGGAAGATGGAATCTCTAGCTTTGATGAGCATATCCTTAACCACTTTATAATGATGCTTGATTGACCTGTAAGCCAGCTGTAGAATTATTGAATTTTTTTTTTTTTTGAATCTCTCAATCCTAATTTCCTGTAAATAGATAGTGGCATCAGAATAATACTTGCTCTAGAATCAATTAAAGCATTTATATTATATGAATTTCCTATAGAGCAAGGTAAAGGAAACTCCTTGGATTTTTCAATTTAGGAAAGAGCTTACGATATAGGATTGCACTATATTCTTTTGCCAATGCCAATGCCAATGCCAATGCCAATGCCAATGCCACTGCATCATCTTCTAGCAACTTTCTCTTATTGGTCAACATCTATTTCAAGAACTTAGCATAATTTTAAATTTTTATCATTGCGTCAATTAAGAGAATATTGATGTGAAGTTGCCAGAAGGCATCCAAGAACTTCTTGAACTACTTTTCCAATTTATTGTCCTACAACCTTTGAGGAAATAAGACTAGTGGTCTATGTTTCTTGGTAAGAATGGTTTTCTTAACCTGTGGATGGTTTGATTGTTCTTCTTGATTTACCTTTGTTGATTCTTTAGACTAACCCACTTGTTTGTCGCCCATGGTAGATACTTGATTCCCCTCTATCTCTTTTCCTTTTTACACTGATTTTTGGTAGCTAAATTTTACTTCTAGTTGTAATGGCCTAGACTTGTTCATCTTTTGGTTACTTTCAAAGCCTCTGAGGAAATGGGATATGCAGCACATAAGCTCACACAAAGGTGTAATCTTTATTGATGGAGTGTCGATCACATCATCCTCTATGGTTGTGATAGCTAAAACTTGTTCTAGTGGATTTTTTCGGTATCGCTTATCAAGGTACACTATGTCCTATTGGAGAATGCAGCTGCTATCTGTTCACGAAAATACGTTTCGAAATTATATCACCACAAATGTACGGTTCGTTGACAAGTAATAAAGTGAAAATTGTAAAATTTCAAGTATCGTTCCCACAAGGATTGATT